TTAGGTCTTACATTTAAGTCTTTAATCCATTTTGAGTTTATTTTTGTATATGGTTTGAGAAAGTAGTCCAGTTTGATTCTTTCACATGTGATTGTCAAGTTTTCTCAACACTGTTTATTGAAGACACTGTCTTTTCCCCATTGTATTTCCTTCTCTCCTTTGCCATAGATTAATTGCCCATATAAGTGTGGGTTCATTTCTAGGCTCTCTGTTCTGTTTCGTTGATCTCTATGTCTGTTTTTGTGCAATTCCCATGCTGTTTTGATTGCTGTAGCTTTATAGTACAGTTTGAAATCAGATAGCATGATATCTCCAGCTTTGTTCTTCTTCCTCAAGATTGTTTTGGCTCTTTGGCATCTTTGTGTTTTCATACAAATTTTAGAATTATTTTTTCTAGTTCTGTGAAAAATGCCATTGGTATTTTAATAGGGATTGCATTGAATCTGTAGATTGTCTTGGGTAATATGGTCATTTTAACAATATTAATTCTTCTAATTCATGAGCCTGGTATATCTTTTCATCTCTTTGTGTTGTCTTCAGTTTCTTTCAACAGTGTCTTATAGTTTTCTGAGTGTAGGTCTTTATCTCCTTAATTAGATTTATTCTGGGAGGTCCCTGGTGGTCTAGTGGTTAGGATTCTTGGCTTTCACTGCTGCAGCCTGGGTTCAATCCCTGGCTGGGGAACTGAGATCCCACAAACCACATGGTATGGCCAAAAAAACCCCCCCAAAAACCTATCCAAGTTAAAAAAAAGAGATTTATTCCTAGGTATTTTATTCTTTTTAAATGTGATTGTAAATGGGATTTTTATTCTTAATTTCTCTCTCTGATAGTTCTATGTTAGCGTATAGAAGTGCAACAGATTCCTCTATATTAATTTTGTATCTTGCAACTTTACCAAATTCACTGATGTGCTCTAGAAGTTTTTTGGTGGTGTCTTGTTATCTGCAAACAGTGACAGTTTTACTTTGTAGTCTCTAATTTCTTCCTTTACTTCTTTTTAAAAAAATTAATTTATTTATTTTTATTTATTTTTGGCTGTGTTGGGTCTTTGTTGCTGTGCACGTGGGCTTTCTCTAGTTGCGGCGAGAGGGGACTACTCTTCGTTGCGGTGCGTGGGCTTCTCATTGTCGTGGCTTCTTTTGTTGTGGAGCACTGGCTCTAGGAGCGCGGGCTTCAGTAGTTGTAGCACGTGGGCTCAGTAGTTGTGGCTTGCAGGCTCTAGAGCACAGGCTCAGTAGTTGTGGCGCACAGGCTTTGTTGCTCCATGGCATGTGGGATCTTCCTGGACCAGGGCTCAAACCTGTGTCCCCTGCATTGGCAGGCAGATTCTTAACCACTGTGCCACCAGGGAAGCCCCCTTTACTTCTTTAAGCATGGTTTCCCTTAGTTCTTTGAACATATTTACAAAGGATGCTTTGAAATCTTTGTTAAATTCCACATGTGGGTCCTCTCATAGACAGTTTCTGTTGCCTGCCTTTTTCCCTCTGTATGGGTCACACTTTCCTGTTTCTTTGAATGTTTCATAATCTGTTTTGAAAGTTGGGCATTTTATATAATATATTGTAGCATCTCTAGGTATACTGACCCCTATCCCCCACCAGACTGTTTATTTGTTTAGTGACTTAGTTGGCTCTTTTAGTGAAGTACATTTCTCCCTGCAGCATGAAGCCTCTGATGTTGAGCCTGAATGGGTACAGCCTTAGGGATCACACCAGCTGTTAGGCTCCACTAATTTTCAGCTGATTGCTCTATTTTTTAAAAAATATTTATTTATTTAGTTAATTTATTTATTTTCCTTTTTATTTTTTTTGCTGCATCAGGTCTTAGTTGCAGCACATGGGGTCTTCGTTGAGGCACGTGGGATCTTTTTGTTACAGTGAGCGGTCTATTTGTTGTGGTCCTCGGGCTTCTCTCTAGTTGTGGTGTGAGGGTTTTCTCTCTCTAGTTATGGCGCGAGGGCTCCAGAGCACGTGGGCTCTGTAGTTTGCGGTATGTGGGCTCTCTTATTGAGGCATGTGAGCTCAATAGTTGTGGTGCACGGGCTTAGTTGCCATGTGGCATGTGGAAACTTAGTTCCCTGACCAGGGATCAAACCCACATCCCCTGCATTGGAAGGAGGATTCTTTACCACTGGACCACCAGGGAAGTCCCTGCTTTATTGTTTTTGACAATGCTCTGTATCATCATTTGCTCCACACTTTGTTTCCACTAACGTCAGTTCTTTTGAAGGGGAGCTTTGGAGTTCACTGTTTTTATGACCTGCCTTTCACCTTGGGCAAAATCTCTGAGTCACTGTTCTGAATCTAGGGGTGGGAATAGTGGCCTGCTTCTCTTAGAGTGACATCTCTGTTTTGTGAGCAGGGTGCTGGGTGGGGACTGTAACCTCTGGTCTTCTTAGATTTCCTCACCTAGTGTGGAACCCCTGTGTTATGAGTGAGCTGGGGTGAGGGCAGTCAGGGCCCCCACATCTTTGGCCTGCCCAACCTGCAGTAGAGCCTCTGCTCTATGAGTGGGGTCTGGGTAGAGAAAGGGAGCACCCTACTTCTGGGCTGCACTCACTTGGGATTTAGTGTTTGTAGCACATAGCTAGGGGTGATGAGAAATGCTGGTTACCTGCTCTTATTGGGGAGATACTGCAGCTCTTGACTGGGAGCTAGAGGAGAGAGAGCCTCGTTTTCTTGTCCACATCTGGAGATTTTGTTACACTGAGCTGGGAAAAGATTTATTTTAGAATAAATCTTCATTTGCCATATGCCCTCAGGACAATTTCTAGAGACTTAAGATGATTGATTTAGCAATCTTTTTTTTTAAACTTAATTAATTAATTAATTTATGGCTGTGTTGGGTCCTCGTTGCTGCACGCGGGCTTTCTCTAGTTGCAGCGAGTGGGGGCTACTCTTTGTTGCAGTGCGTGGGCTTCTTATTTTGGTGGCTTCTCGTTACAGAGCATGGGCTCTAGGCACGCGGGCTTCAGTAGTTGTGGCACGTGGGCTCAGTAGTTGTGGCTCGCGGGCTCTAGAGTGCAGGCTCAGTAGCTGTGGTGCATGGGCTTAGTTGCTCCATGGCATGTAGGATCTTCCCAGACCAGGGCTTGAACCAGTGTTCCCTGCATTGGCAGGTGGATTCTTAACCACTGCATCACCAGGGAAGCCCTGATTTAGCAATCTGTACCAGTTTCGGTTGTTTTCTGGGGAATGGGTCTGTGGAGCTGCTCATGCCGCCATTTTTCTCCGTAATGCCCTCAGTTCCCACGATTTTTGTTTTCTCATATTTGTGTCCTTTTGCAGTCCCTTCCCACACTAGATAGGCTGACCTGTGTAACCATTAGGATATGGCAGAAATTATCACAAAAGCTAGTTCACAAAAACATTGCAGCTTCTGCCCTGTTCCTCCTTCCTGGGTCACTTGCTCTGTGGGAAGCCAGCTGTCTTGTCATGAGGACAAGCAGCCCAATGGTGAGGTCATCCTGGCAAGGAACTGAGGCCTCCTTCCAAAAGCCAGCCCAAACTTGCCAGGCATACAAATCAACCATCTTGGGAGCAGATCCTCCAGCGTGTCAAGCCTTCAGATGACTTCAAATGACCAGCTGATGTCTTGACTGTGACCTCACAAGAGACCCCAATCCAGAACTACCTAACTAAGCTGCCCCGGGATTCCTGACCCACAGAGCACACTTAGGTTTTGAGCTATGAAATTTTGGGTAATTTGTTATGTAGCAGTAGGTAGTTAATACATGATCTTGGGTAAGACCCTTCTCTTATGTTCTTCAGTTCCTTCATCTGAAAAACATTTTTGGACTAGATCCATAGTTTCCAACTGTCTGCAAGGAGCCCTATGATTTCATAGTGATGGGTAACAGGCTACCATGTGGGGCAAAGGGGAGGCCAAGTGGGCCTCCAGACTCCAGGCAAAGCAGCTCCACTTTTCTCTCTCTCTTATAAACTGGGCTTCAATGTAAGATTTAATTTGAAGAAAGAGTCTGTTTTTTGCTATCTTTGCTTTTGGGTTTTTTTTTTTTATGTTTTATGATTTCTTCAATCTTACATGCTTATTTCAATTTAGTTTCCCATCTTGAAATGGGCATTTCATAAGGCCCTGTATTTCTAGTGTCTCTGATCATAGAGTATAAGGAATGCTACACAACAAACCTCTAATTGCTCAGAGACTTTTCCAAAGTTACACAGTAATTTAGTGACCAAGTGAGGAATGGAATATAGGTCCCCTTGACTCCCAGAAGAGATTATCTACACTAATGAAATGGAGCTATCATAAATAAAAATATTTAAAAAAATAAATCTTCAAAAAGCAAAGACTAGAACTTGACTTTGTTCAAGTACGGGGGAAGAAAGTAAAAACAACAAATAAAAGACTCTTAGGACATGCTGTCCTACAGGAAGCTGGCTTGCTCATAAAGATAAATCATACAGGAGTAGAGATTAATGTTGGGAATCAAAGAGAACTTACATAGAGTTGTCTGGCATAGTTAGTCATTATTTATTGTGCAGTGTGGCGATCAGGCAATTCAGCAAGCTCCTATGGGGTGCTAGGCAGAGCTTGGACTGGGACACAGAGGTAAGCCATATATATATATATATATATGGCTTTATGTAGTGTTAAAAGTTTTAAATAGTTGCTTATATTAAAACATAAGTAGATTTCTGGTCTCTTTTGAATAATTGGCAAATCTGGGCTGGCATTGCTGCATGGGGGCCTTGGCTGGAGCTAAGTAGTAGCTGCCCCTAGAGCTGGGGCCTGAGCACTGCAGTTTCCTTCAGTCTCCCCCAACCCATTCCCTGTTGTTTCCCCTCTGAAGCCACCTGCTAGCTGCCCTTTATCACTCTGCTTGTGCTGTTATTTTTCTTAGAGTATTTTCTTATACCTCTCTTCACTTATTTACCCACGTGACCCTAGCAAGGATCTGATTTTGAGACACCCCCCCGACCCCGCTCCTGTCCTGGACTTTTTCCCTCCCTTCTTCCCTTGCACACAGAACTCACTGGAGGCATGGCGCTTGACTTTGACCTGTGGGTCTGCCCGGTGGGACTTCTCACTGCAGGTGGAGGCATGGCGCTTGATCTGGGCTCCAGAGGGACGCTCAGGCTCCTCGTCCTGGGTGAGAGATGGAAGGAGAAGGTAAAGTGTGGGTGGGCTCAGAATCCTCAGTGTAGGTGCTTTCTGGTGCGCGCTCAGTGGCTGAGTACTACATGACCTCTGAGATCTTGGCCTTACATTTTTAGATGTGTGCAGCCCTCAACAGTTTATAAACCACTTGCACTAGCAGTGTATTACTTGATCCTCATACCTTCCTGTGGGGGGCAGCAGAAGGCAACCCTAAGCTGGAATTTCTGCTGAGAGGAAAATTAGGAAGTCTCAAAAGACCATGGGTGACCATATTTGATTTATCGTAGATATTTTTGTCCTCACATCATTTGGACGTATCCTTCAAGTTTTCCAAATTGCTAATATAAAGTCTTAAGTTAAAAAAACAGTTATAGATGAGATCAGCCAATGGTAGAAGTGACATAACTTAATAGACTGGTTATACATTTTTGCATGAAGAGTCATGAGAACACTCAAAATCTTGTCAAAGCTCAGGAAACCGTGAGTGGAATATGATAATAATGTCATACAATACTGCTGTTGATAACAACAGTACTATTTACTCCTCTGTATAAGACCTTCCAATGTCCAGGTACTGTGCTAAGTTTTTTCCATAAAGCATTTCATTTAGTTTTTGCAATAGTCCTATCAGGTAGCTTTTATCATATTTATGTGGAGCCAGGAAGTGAGGACCAGAGAAATGAAGCCCAAGGTAACTTGGACTCAGCCCTGAGTGCAAGGTTCATGTCCTTAAGCACTAAGCTGTCTTGCTATTAAACTCTGCAGCTGAGAACAGTCTCAAGCTGAATCTACTGGTTCATATGAGTCTGAAGAAAGACCATGTAGACAGAAGGATGGCTGGAGAAGTTTCTAGTAGCAAAGGGAGTCCTAGAGGTGAGAGCTCAGAGTGTCATCCAGCACTGTCCAAGGCAGGGGTCCTGGCCCGCAAACACATCTGCTTTCCTTTGCAGCTTGATTCCCTCTCTCTCTCCTCTAGCTGTGAGGTCTGACCCACCAACCACTGTCTGATCAGAATGTCATCCTCTGGCTCTCCAGTGGCAGGAGAAGGCACAGGGCATGCTGCGGAGCAGTATGGGTCAAGTGATGGCTACAGAGGACTCACTGTAAATTAATAAGCTGGCATCTCCTTGGTTTAGTGAACGAGACAGGGAGAATGTCCTGGGAGCTGAAGCCTAGACTGTGGTTGTCACCAGGTAAAGGCCTGTGGGGGCAGCCACCCAGTTATCATCCCCCTGAGACACTACTGAATCAGTCAATTCACAGAGCAGTAAACAGGGGTGGACAGTCCAACACCTTGCTCAGACTGGAGCAGTGCTTTATAGATGCAGAGGGCTTTCTTCTTCCTGGTCAGGGGATCTTTCCACTGCACTGCTCAGTCTCCTGTTCCAGAGATTCTTTCCCCTGAGCCATGGTCTGTCATAATAAGGTCCCCTCTCCCCCGCCTTCTAGCTGCTGGTTAAACAAAAATGATCTCTCTGGGGCTTCCCTGGTGGCGCAGTGGTTGAAAGTCCCCCTGCCGATGCAGGGGACACGGGTTTGTGCCCCGGTCCGGGAAGCTCCCACATGCTGCGGAGCAGCTGGGCCCGTGA